GATCGAAACCCGTGCAGGCTGCGTGGATTTGTGTCGTGGTATGGGACGTCGCAGGTCGACCCAGCCTAAAATGGGTACCAGGATGGGCTGTCCTGGGAAAGTAAAGACAGCCGGCGTAATGCTGACCACATTACCCACAGAGTGCTGATGGTCTGTAAAAATATGGGACGCTCTGCCCATGTGCCCGATGCGCCGAAAGGCGTGATAAGGGAACTTTACTTTCTTTACTTACATATAATGTGCACAGGCGCCCCTATCCCCTTTCTAATCACAAAAAGAAGATTTTTATATCAGCGTTTGTTTATAACTTTCCCATAATTTTATACGTGTCATTACACTGATTTGTAATTCATCACATTACATTATCTATATGAATTCCCTCTCCCACTCCATATTTTCCTCATGTCGTCGCCCCTGATGTGTAACAAGTATCAATCCCCAGCATCGCCTGATTAAACAGACAATTTGACAAGTGGTTGAAATCCATAATTAATTTCAATCCCCTGTGAAGAAATTGAGGCCATATATTGCTACCAGCAGATCTAACATGCATATAAACTGCGGGATCCATCTTTATGCACACATTATGTTTGTGAGTGCTATACTTACATATTTCGTGACAAATATCGCGTCAAGTGTGGAAGGCTAAAGCAAAACAATACCTGAAACGACTAGATACATTTTAACTCGTAAAAAATTGATAATCAGAAATGTTTTCTAAGTTGTTTCTTTCGATGTTGGTGACATGCTATTCTGCAGACGGTATGTTGAAATGTGTCAAAATATACGCACTTATATATTGTAAGCGATGCGGTTTGGTGCAACAAAGCCTGGTATATGATATCACAACGTCGAGTTTGAGAATGGAGATGGAGGCAGTCACTGCTGCCTTCCGCTGGCTTGTGAATTAGCTGTACACACATGTCGTCTTTGTAACTGACTCACAGAGAATGCTGAGAAATGTGGAAACAGGCATGCTCTATGCAGAGTGGCAAGCATCACTTCAGAGGTCCCGGGTAGTAAGGATCCTTTGGATATTTTCTCCAGGTCATGGCGGTGTGTTGGAAAATAAGCAGGCCGATAGAGTGGCCGGTTCTGCACCACTTGGTGGTGAACTGATATATGACAAGCTGGATGTTGTGAGGGGCCTTTGGGAGCTAGTGAACAGTGCGAGGAACAGATAGATCATTACGGTCTGAGGAGAATGGCACTGCGAGGAGTTACAAGGTGATCTGGCCGACGCTCGACACTCAGGGGAAAGGCGAGACAGTTATACAGTCAGAAAGTTACTGGTACCGTCGGCATTTTAACTCTTCGCTTGCTGCTGGAGATGGGGACGGACGGCTTATGGGGGTGTCGCGAGGGCTGTGATGTCGATTCTTAATTCAACATTCAAGCGATGTGTACATCGTATGTCTCAGTGATCTCCAACTTTTTCAGGTGGTGCCCATATTGAGTGAATTCCAAGACTACCTCAACACCCCCCCCCCTTCCTTCCTCTCCCCCAACCGCGACCCAATCTTTAAAGATAAAAACAAAATGTGATTAAGAGAGGATAAATGTTTTCCCTGATCCATAATTAAATGCATGTGTTATCATATTAATTAGATTTTTAAAGGTAGATCTGCAGACTGCTTATAAACACGGCCTTTGTTTTTTTGTTTAAAAAAAATGTAAAACATAAACTTATAAATAATATGGGGGAAAAATGCTAGCATAATGAATTATTAAAAATGCGGAGATCACTAATTTATCTCTGTATCTGTCTGTTATTGTAAACATAACATGCATTATTGATAACAGGCATTGGTACTCTGAAAGATAAGTATTTAGAAGGGCCGAAAGTCCGACGAGCCTGCATGCCCAATTTGTAATCCTTTGAAAATAAAGTTTGCTCCTTTGTTCTGGTTCATGCTGCTTTTGACAGATAAGGCATTCACAGGAGATCTCCACTGCTGCCGACACATAAGATATTCACATGGGATCTCCATTGCTGCTGACACATAAGATATTCACTAGGGATCTCCATTGCTGCTGACACATAAGATATTCACATGGGATCTTCATTGCTGCCGACACATAGGGCATTCACATGGGATCTCCATTGCTGCTGACACATAAGACATTCACATGAGATCTCCATTGCTGCCGACACATAACACATTCAAAGGAGATCTGCACTGCTGCTCGTACAGAGAACATTCCTATTTGATCCCAATTGCTGCTGACACTTAAGACATTCATACGTAATCTCCGTGTATTTACTTATCCCGGTAAGCCATGTTTAACCAAAGAGATAAGAATCACACATGAATAGACATATCCCGCGAAGACTTGTTCAGATATATGGATATACTGAGGCTCCTTGTGTCAAACGTCCTTGCCGACTGTATGTTTGAATATACGCCTAAAGGGCATATAGGGCTAGACCTATTTTTAGAGAACAACGTCTCAAGATGGGTGATGTGGTCAGCATCACACCGGCCGCCTCTACTTCCCGGGACAGCACCCCGTACCAACTCAAGGCTGGGTCAACCTGGGAGCCTAGGTCATTTTTGAAGAAAATTCCGGCTACGCCAGGGAGCGAACTGCCGCACTGCCACGGCAGCTGTCAGATATATCTCGTTGGGAGCTCTACCAGTCATGTTTATGTTGTATGCATGATGTAGGGTCATAAGCGTCCTTGAGATATTTTCTCTAAGTTATGCAGGTGTGCCAGGAAACGATTGATTGGCTGCTTCTGTGTCACACGGTGGTAAATGACAAATGGCAAGATCTTTTTAGAGCCTTTGGGACCTATGCTAACCTTAGCGCCACCGTTGGTACACAGTTTCAAATTTCCTTTTTTTCGCATTGTTTGAAAGATAATATGTATTCATCTCTTGTTTATGTTTTAGACCAAACAGCAGTTCAAGATTTTCACATACGATGCCCGTTGTATGCAGGCTGGCTTTTTATAGTGCCGTTTCAGGGGTATTTCTAAAGTTTGTCCAAAATCACATATATATTTCAATCAAGCTCTTGATCAGGATTTATCTGCCTTGTGATTCTGTGAAAATATACGGATGTGAGTCAGTAAGCAGTTAGCAATGCTTTTCTTTAGAAAGCAAAATTCATTACTTTTGAAATCTTATGTTTTTTTTTGGAAAAAAAAGTGTGGGGGGGGGGGGGGGGTAGGGGTAGGGGGGTAGAGTTGTGCACTAACTAAATGAAAAATAAAACAAACATTAATATTAACTATTTAAAAATATCATTTGTCTTACAGCCTCAATGTTTTGAGGATTTTAAACATCACAAAGATTTGGAAAGTAATGAGACCACTAGTGAAGAAGAGGCAGAAGTGGACCTGCATGAGTGTGAACATGGGGTAATGAAAACACAATCTTTGGGGCAATGGGAGAGACGAATAACTGAGAATCTGTACTGTGCGTTATTATTACAGCCATGTTTTGCAAGGGATGCCTAGATATCTGTATGCACAATCACGGCTTTTTAATTAGTCGTTGGTTTGTATTTCTATTATATTGAACTGTGTTTTTGCATGGCTTTTACACGCGTACCGGTTTATATTGCTGCCCACAGAACATAATCACCTAAAAATTCCTGAGTAAACTATGTGTGCACATACATGATATTTTTTTCCTTTTTCCTTGCAGTGATGTGTGCCAGCATACAGGGACATTTTCCGTTGAAAGGTTGCTTCGAAGAAGACACGGATTTATTGTCACTGTTGGACTATGACGAAGAACTATCATTCCTGAAGCAGTATTCTTTGATACATACCCTCAGTTGGAACTTAATAGAGCAATCTTTAAGTGGAAACAGCTCAAAGTGGAGGGCAGCCATCGTGGTTGACAGATTCAGTGTTCGCAACGAGACCATGAATATCAGCCATTGGAGCTTTCATGGAAGTGATATGTTTTGGCAGCCGAACACAGTTTCAAAAAACAGACATTCTGGAGGTACCCATCAGAGATGTCAGATCACGTCTGGAGCTAAAAATACAAATTATTGAACGTTTGTTTGCTGAAATGAGTGGAGTTAGAAATAATGCTGTTCATATCTGTGTTGTCTTTCTTAATGGTAAAAGTCTGACACAAGAAGAAATCAGAAAAGTTCCCTCCATTGTACAACAACTCAGTTCGAAAGTGAAGATCTTTACAGTGATATTTGGCAGTAAACTTGTAGAGGAAATAGTGCACCTGACCGATACGCTTGTGTTACCACATATTGATAGAAGTTATTCAACAAGGTATTTACAGATGGCGATATGTGAAACGTGTGGACCACAATGGGTTCTATTTAAACACACAACAGGGCTCAATATGCTTACCTGCTTTAGAATATCCCCAGACTTTAAAGACACTACGTGGCTTAAAGCATCTGATTACTGCAAAAAGTATTTTAATGGAAATTTGGCAAGAATTGAAAGTGAAGAGGAAATGTTTTTTTTACAGGAGCAGTTATTTGAAAAACTCAAAAATTTGAACCTGCCTAACATCACATTTCATATTGGCCTCACTAGAGATTTAGGTAACTACGCGAAAAGATTTCAGTGGGTCGCCAGTCTAGGAAAGTTTCGTCCCCTTTTGATTCATCATTGGCTGCCCGGTCAACCTTGTAGAGACTGTAAGGATGATGACTGTGTGGCGTGGCAGTTTACAAACACCACAACACGTGACAAATATAACAACAGTGCCAGTGAGGGATGGATAAATCTTAATTGTCATTCCGAAATAAAATCTGAACCACTGTGTGAAGTTGTCCTTCCCCGAAAGTTTAATGATGTTGACTTTATCTTTAAATTACCAGATCCAACAGAGCAAATTAATTTCACAGTACCAAATGAACATTTTCTCATCTACGAAAGGAATATAATTTCCATATCTGCCAACGTACCTAACTCCAATTTTCTTCAATTTCTGAGAACATCAAATCTAGACTTTCCAATCTTTGACTGTGGGGAAGACGCCGGTGATCGTAGATATGTTTCCTATGAAATGTTCTGTGATTTAGTTGATCACTACAGCAACAGACAGGATGAGCTTCTTTGTTCGAATCCTATGACATTTTTATCTTTTAATGACTTTTACTGCCAATCCGGCCAAAGGCTACACCATAAAGAATATGAATGTGACAAGATCAAGGACTGTGGAGACGACAGCGATGAGAAATTCTGCGTTCACACAACATGTAACAGTGGACAGTGTCGTGCTGACTTATGTCTACCTCTACAGTGGGACAATAATGTACAAGTTGACTGTTTCATTTCTACGATTAGTCTCCAGGAATATATAGATAGTTATTTAAGCTTGCAAAAAAGTAAACCTCTAATAAATAATAACAGATGTGCATTAGTATGCGATCCTGGCATATGTGTAAACAAATCTCAGCACAGCGACTTGTTCATAGACTGTAGAGGTCCTGAAGGCCTTATAGCTCAGACCATGGGAAAGCTAGAGTCTGCAAACGCTTGCAAGAATAGCTTCGGACATAATATGTGGGCTCCAAAATGTCATTACATCAAAGAAAGACACGGAGGTATTGTCGGGTGCACAGATATGTCACATCTTAGAGACTGCGAGAACTTTCAATGCAGTTACGGGTATGTGAAGTGTTATAACTCGTACTGTATCCCTCATCATTATCTTCGTGATGGAAGAGATGACTGTCCTACAGGAGAAGACGAGCAACTGTTCTACACTGGTCCATGTACTGGGTATTTTGCTTGCTGGGACAGCAACATCTGTCTTCATCCTGACCTAGTTTGTGATGGGCATACCGATTGCCCGTATGAAGATGATGAACTTGGCTGCCGCGATGATTGTCTTAAAGGTTTCCGGTGTATTGCTGGGACAGTGTCCGTTTCTGATTACAACAAATCAGTTCCTTTAGACATGACAAAAGTGTGTGCTATGGATCGACAGATTAGATACCTGGACCTGTCTGGAGTAGAGTTTTATGAACTCAGCTTATTTTTGCTTACTGCCCCAGGAGCATTTCTGAATTTAAAAGTCCTGATCTTGTCTAAATGCAATATAAGTGAGTTATGTTTACCTTTAATTTATAACTACCCACCATTTATGATTCAGAAACTGGACATTAGCCACAACAGATTTGAAGCCTTTGCAACCGATGAATACAACTATTTTTACAAACACATACATTTTCTTAATATTTCTCACAATCGTCTGCTGAAGTCGCTCAGAAATTTACGGTTCAGTTTTCTAGAAATATTTGATCTTTCCTTTACAAGTCTGTCTTATCTAAACGATTCAGTGTTCACAAAACTCCATAGATTAAAACATCTAAATTTGAGCAATTCGTTGATTTCAAAATTTACGAGACAATATTTCAGCCCAAAACTGACACTGCAGACATTAGATTTACGAGGTATTCTTACACAAGATCTCGACGACTATTTTTTTCAAAATCTTACAATTAGCCAGGCGTTGTATTCGGATCTTTTCCAGATTTGCTGTCCACAGATTCAGGGATTAGTTATTTCGCCTCGTGCGTGCATTGCTCCTTTAAATACAGATGCCATTTCCTCGTGTGGTAATCTGCTAGGACTTGATATTCAGCGATTTCTTCTCTGGATTGTTGCAATACTCGCACTTCTGGGAAACGTGACGGTCATTGTGTATCGTGTGATCTGGGATAGGTCAGTTCTCCAAACAGGATACGGTCTGTTCGTGACCAACTTGGGTGTATCTGACTTCATCATGGGAGTCTATTTGTTCCTGATTGCTGGGGCTGATTCTTTCTACCGTGACAGTTATGTTCTCTATGACAAGAACTGGAGGAACGGAGTTGTATGCAAGATGGCTGGTTTTATGGCCTGTCTCTCATGTGAAGCATCGACGTTCTTTGTTTTTCTGATCACTCTCGACAGATTTTTGGTGATGAAGTTTCCATTCGGTCAAGTAAAGTTTACGTGGTCTCACAAAACTATCGCAGTTGTGATGTCTTGGGTGGCAAGTGTCCTACTTTCACTTGTTCCCATCGTGTTGAACTTTGACATCTATTCTTCCAACGCAATGTGTCTTGGCTTGCCCTTAACAAACAACTACGCTAAAGGTTGGGAGTATTCAGTGGCAGTTTTTATTATTTGTAACCTGATAATGTTTTTGTTTATTGCGTGTGGTCAATATGCGATCTTCCGTGCTATGTCAGAGAGCAGAATATCTAAGACAGCAACTAGCATGCCTTCTTCACGACGAGCTGAAGATATAACAGTAGCCAAACAACTGTCTCTTGTAATTCTGTCTAATTTCCTCTTCTGGTTTCCTGTGGGAATCATGGGACTGATTTCTCTTGGAGGTCATGATGTCAGCAGTGAGGTTTATGCCTGGACAACTGTTCTCCTTCTGCCCATCAACTCCGCTGCAAACCCTGTTCTGTATACTATTCCCACCCTACTTGAGACATGGAAAAAATTTAAGCATGGAAATAAAAGGAAACCCAATGTAAACGTACAATAACTATTTTTAAATAGTTAGTACACTCCGTGACATCACTTGTTATTAAATGGTCACTTACGATTGGAGAACACACTTATAAAGGGTATTTATCATATTGTTAAAATTTATTGTTTTGACAAATAAGAATATGCAAATGTACGCTACAGTCATTTCAAATGCATTTCTAATAATAGGCAAGCCTGTTTTCTCTAGTATTCTGGCTACTGTCAGTCTCCCGCTTCAGTTAGGGTCAGTAATTTACGGTCTGTAACAATAGACCTTGTCAATTTGTCTAGTAGGACGACTTGTCAGAGTTTGATAAGCATACGATTTGTATTTTTATATGTTTGAATTGTTCATAAACCTTAAGTAATGTAATGGATTGCATTCGACCTAACGCAAGGATTTTGACTTTCCCTCTTCGAAACGGTTTCAATTTGATATTGTGAGTGAATATTGTGTTTGACTGTGTGCAGATTTACCGACTAAGTCGTGTGGAGGGAGCGACTCAGGAAGGGAGTTTCGAATGAAGAAAAAAAAAAAAAAAAATGCAAACAGAATGAGAATGACTCGTCTGAGAAGAAATACACTAAATACATTTGATGGCGTCAATGGTTGTGAAATCACATGCTCTAATTATGAAGGACTTTTCTTAATACGGCTGGGTCTTTCTAGTCACACTCGTCAGGGGATGACTGGCATAATTGGGTAAGTCCCGGATAGCATGGGTTTCACGGAGATATGGTGAAAGGACAAGAGTGAGTGAGTCACGTGTGAATGCGAGATCTTGGGGATTGAGAATGAGGTGGTCATTCGGTGATTGGGCCCCAGATTGGAAGGATGTGAAGCAGAATCTGTGAAGGTGAATCCAGAGTGAGAAGTGCACACGTGGATCTGAATCTGAGTCGAATAATGTTAATGCTGAACGACAAGACAGGCAGCGCTATTAAATGATTGTTTGGGCCAGCAGTTGTGTTTCACGGTATGTTTGTTGAGCCAGCCATGTACATGCCAGTGTCCATCGTCTGAACCGGGGCTAGAGACTCAATGCCTGAGCAAGGCGAGATTGCCCGAATGGCATAAGTTAGTTCATCTGTTGATTCGTGTCGCTTGTGTTACGTTGACAATGAACCTGTGAAATGCGTCACCTGTTGTCGACCGTCATTTAAAGTTGTGTGGCCGTGGAGAGAAGTGTCGTCTGGCTAGAATGAACTGTGACCTAACAGACAACAGAGTCAGTGTTAAATCTGCACGAGAGAGGTTGAGTGTGGAGGAGACACATTACAAATATCTCACAACACAAACATTTATAAAAAGGCAAGTGAGGAACTCTACGTCACAACTTAAGAAACAACAAATAATAGGCAATTTGAACTTGTTTCCAATATTCAGCGTCAGGTGCCTACACGTTCAGTCATATTTTGTAAACAGTTTTCAGTATAAGCAACATCACAGAGACAGAAATGACGTTTCTCCTACAACTCCTTTTGAACAGGGCCACCCCGGGAAACCGTCTGTAATTTTACGCATAGGACACATTTTTTACACATTTTTCTTCATCGCCCTGTTTTTTACTGTAATCATTGCCCTATTGTGGAAGCCACAGACCTAGTAGAGTAAATTTGCACTTATACTGTCTACAACTTTGGAGAATTCACCCTTTGTTCTTCTGAATTTTCTTTTTTCTTTTCAACCAGACGTTCTATCAGCACAACATGTCTCAAACTTCTTGTTGTTAGACAATGTCACTGATTGACAATATTTGGAAGACTGTTTCAAAATTAGTATAGCTGTAATTTTTTTCGTCTATTGACAATGTGTTTTTGTTTGATAAAAGATCATTAAAGATAAAGGTGTTGATTCTTTTTTGCTTGTCTCAAATGTGATACATTTTTTTTAAATGTTTGTATGAGAAACACCAACAATGACAAAATGAGAGCCGCTAACAATAAAAAGGAGATATTTTTAAAAAAAAAAATTATGACACAAAGGGTCTCACTTACCTTTGCTTTTGTTTCTCGTATTGTAATACGTAACACTGGAGTCTTGTAAAGACAATTGTCTCCAGTTCGAGGTGTGTCAGATCATTTTCAATTTTATTGTGAAGGTAGCGTTCTATTGCATTCTCACGGTCCTCGTCCAAACAAGCATGCCCGGACTGATTTGCATATTTTTCAGTACAACCCTCGCAAAAGGCATGCTCTATATTTTATAAGATCAATAACCTTTTAATGGTTTATCTAATATCTGTATGTGAACCTGTTTCGTACTATCATACTTCTGGACATATATTTGAATTCTAGAAAGCATGATCTCTACAAGTTCTTTGTGGGATATGTGTTCCCGGATCACCTGAGCGAAATTCTTGGTCTCGTTCTCCTTCAAGTCTTCTGTTAAACAAATATGTATTTGCTCATCGTTAGAATTCAGAAAATGCTCCGGCTTAGTCTTAAGCTGGATCCAGAGCTTTTTGACTATTTGATGAGTCATAACTGTAAGGAGAGGAAAATATATTGTTGTATTTAACCAAATGAGCATGGCAAATTAGTAATTTCAACAACTTCATCTGCTGTTTCTCGATGAATCTAGTACAAGGTGTCGTTCTCACAGTTTGCTGACAGTTTCATTATTCACTCGATCTCGGATGGTTAGGTTGACTGATTTTCTCAGGCACCTCATCTCGCGGGTGGTGATTTTGCGTATATGGGCGTTAGATAGTGTCCATGTTTGGCACTGGTAGCTTAATGTTAGAATGAATATACTATTAATAATCTGTTTCTTTGCACTCATAGTTGTGCTTGGATGTCTTAATAGTAATGACTATTGGTAAATAAGGGCACTTGCTTTCTGACATCTGGTTTCTATTTCTCTGTCAATTCGACCATCTTCCGTGATCATGCTTTCTAGATATTTAAACTCCCTAACTTGATTGATTAATTCATAATATTTAACGGCCTCAAATGGTTCCCCTCTCTGTTTATTTATAGGAATGACGTATATATACATCAGAACCTACCAATCAAATACCTTTCTTAAATGTTTGTGTATTCTAGACAAGGCAATAATGTCTACTGTGTTCGTAAATTATTGCTGTGATTGTTATTTGACATTTGCCTCGTTATATAAATTTCTGTAACCTATGGTGCTATTTCAATGGGTTGAAATGAATTCTGTCCGTATTCCATAGTCGTGGATTTCAAGCTGTACGATAGACATGGCCAATGAGACACCTTTTTTCGGGGGTGCCGAGTTGACCATGTTTCTTAGTGCACTTGTATTCATGGCGAGGCGCAGACGCCGTCTGGAGGTGACAGGTTCAATTCCCGGCACGGTAACTATAGCTTTCGATTTTTATGTTGTCTAGTGTGTTCTTCTATCTTTCTACTTCTTTCTATGAGTGCCGTTCACAATACTTTCTGTTACTTGATTAATTCATAACTTGATTCAGTGCAAAACCATCCAGCTGTACGTGTAATGGGGCAGGAGATACTTTGTTGGGCGCAAATCAGGGATCCACAATCTGCAATTTACCTAAAAATGCAATTTTTTTAAAAAAGTATTTTTATGCGTTGTTTTCCCCACCAGCTAAAGAAAAGAAAAAAAATTCATTAATAGCAACTATGTCTCAAGAAACATGTTATACATTTAGCCTCGTGTATATAGAAAGCGACACATTTCGCAGCAAATCTCTTGATGATATGGCATTGGCACTCATGCGCAAGAACTAGGTTTGACCCCTGCAAGGTGATGGTGACAGCATTAGTGCAGTCTAGTGAAGACTCGCTTTCAAATCCAGCTGTGACTCGCTGCAGCCCACGGCCGGTGTTTGAAACCAGGCGGTTCCCGGGGTTCATCTAGCTTCTAGAAAATGGGTACCAGAGTTAACACCCTGGGGTCAATGGAGGAATGTCGGTGTAGTTACGGAGTTGCGTGCGAATGTCGACACAGGCGGACAGTTTCTTATCAGCTGTCCATAATAGTAGTGGCAGAGCACTTATGGTTTATAACCGTGTGCAGTGACGCTAGTTCACATCTCCAGTTTACCTTTTAAGGTGATAAAATCCCCCCCCCCCCCCAGTGGTTCTCAAAATTAGGCGTCCTAACCTGCACAGTCTGTGGCGACAGCACTAGCAGCACAATCACGACCCCTTGTCAACAACCCCTAAAAAGTCGTAAAGTCAGTGGCAACATTGACTCTCCCTCCCTACTTTGGTCAATGTTGACACTGTTCACGGGACATTCCCTTAAACTCCCGGAAATAATTATCATACCCCTTTGTCCCTTCCCACAATATTAAAACTCTCCCAAATCAGCGTGCAACAACCGATATTTGTGACAGACAGCGTTAACAGATTCAGATGTCGACCACACAAAACACGGACAGCAGGAAATATCAGAGACACTGAAAAGTACTCTACACGAAGCGAAGAGAAGAGCCCATTTCATAGATCTCTCCCTGCCCTGACGCCTTGACGCATTCCAGGAGTAGAGAAAGGAAGGGCCCTTTGAAAGAAATGATAGTCAATCATTCTGTGTTTATGTTATTTCTACGGATCAACATCACGGCAAATGGGTGTAACCAATCAGTGCTTCGTTCTACTTCGAACTCAAGCCTGCGTCTGAAGAATCTCAGTGCAGTGCACGAACTCAATAAAATACATGAGCTTGGCAGTGTGAGACACCACAGCTATGTCGTGACCAGTCAATCATTCTGTGCTTGTGAAGTCTGTAGTGGTCTTCTTTGCTGTTACTGGCTGTAAACTCCAGCGGAAAGGTCTGGTTGTTCATCCACCTCTGGACTTAAGACTTGTTCCAGAATCGAGCGTTTCGTGCACATACATTTTAGATGTCTGACTTATTTGTATGCAGATTGTTGGTTCCTTGCCTCTTAGGCAGATGCACTCCGACTTCAAAGGAACCCAGAATTATTGGAATCTTATGACATGCTTGTTGGGAAGGTAATGGATCTATTCTTGTTTTTCCCACAAAAGAGCCCCGGAACTCACACGGGAAAATCAGCC